GACAGCAGTTTGGGTACATAAATTTAATTCAGGAGACTGTTAGCATGTCCATTTGGCTGTACACTTAAGCCACCCCAATCTAGAGTTTTATCATTTAAATAAAGCTTACACTTTGATCTCTTCCTGTATTTCTCAGTTGGTTCCAAACTCAGGCAGGAAAGAAAGGTGTTATTTATTGGGTCCTCTCAAAGTCTAACACAAATAAAAGATGATGGCACCTTCTAGAGTGGTGACAACAGATAAGGAAAGAAGCAGAGTTAGAAGTGACAGGTCTCAGTGCTCGATTAGGTATGGGGGGATATCACAGGGGTCCCTAAAACCACATCACGTTCAGGGATTCACTAGAAAGACTCATGTGACTCATTATCTAGTTCTTCTCGCTAAGATTATTACAGCAATGTTGTAAGAATACACAGCTAGATCATAAGGAAAAAGGATAGACGTGGATACGGAAGAATCCACGTGAAGGCGTCCTTACGCTCTCTCCCTCTCAGGAGGGGTCACAAAGAGCTCACTCTTCCTCCAGCAATGAAGATGCAGAAGCATGCGTGCAATGTTTCCACTGAGGGAAGCTGTTAGAGACTCAGCACCCGAGGTTTTTATGGGGGGCTGCTCAGGTAGGCACCTCTACCTAGCAATGTACCAAAGTTCCAGACTGCTGGAAGGAAAGCAAGTCGTGGTCACCATAAACCATACTGTTTGTACAAACAGTTTAGGCACAGTGAGTCACTCTTATTATTTAGGGAAAGTCTTAAATCAATGTAGGACTGTTTACCAATCAAGTTCCCAGATGCCAGCCAAGGGCCCACCTCGCAAGCAGAGCTTTTTAAGGATGGCAGTCTCAGGTTAGCTATGTTAACTCTTTTCTGCACAGGAAGAGTGAAGAAAAGGGAGACATAAGTATGGCGACGGCAGTGTTGTCACCTATGGAGATGGAGGGGACAAAGGAAATAGTTTATGGGAAAAATTTAATATTTCAATTTTGAACACATAAAATTGGAGATAGCTATGAGATAGGTTCAACTATGCCATGTTGCAATCATAAACAATCTTAAAATTTCATCTAGAATGTCATCTGTTGTGACAGAAAAAGAGACGACTAGAGAGGTCTCATATCAGCTCTTCTATGTTTCCGTCTAGCAGTGACACACCACGTTTTCACCCATAGCCCACCGGCAAAAACTAGTCACATGGCCTCAACCAACTGTAAGTGGGGCTGAGAAATGTGGGGTGGTAGATGGGGTGTTTGGTGAACACCACTGTTCCTGTCACAATATCCAGGTGGGACTGTCACATGGGTATCCAGAACAAACGAATGTTCTGGAGACTTCCATTTAGGAGTCATAAACAGATAGACGGTATTTAAAGCCAACCTCACTTTCACGTGATCTGAATCCCAATGGCCTCATAAGGGCAATGTCATCACCATTTTCTGGTTTGAAGCAGTAGGAAATCCAGATTGGTGGATACTCTTCAAACCTCCCTGTAGTGAAACTAGCAGCACATGGTCTTCCTGAGCTCACAAGACAGACTTTGGTTTAGGATTGAGGGCAGGTTTTGAAGCTCTCTGAGGGGAAGGGCTTGGTCCCAGAAAAGGCTGTCTAGAAACAGCCTGATGCTCAGAGCAGAGGAGAGGGGCTCACAAAGGTGAGAAGGGACATTTGAAACTGTTTATGGATAGATATTGATGGGCAAGTTCACCGAGGGAAGGATGGAGTTTTCAGTGGTAGGTAACAAAAATCATGCCAGGGCTACCACTAGGTGTCACTAGCAGGAAAGGAAAGGATGAAAGAACAAATAGAGGAAGAACAGAGGAAGATGCAAACTGGTTCCAAGGAGACAGGAGGTAGAAAGTGCCCCCAAATGGCCTCAGGTAGAACGCTGTAGGAGCGGTGTCCACACTGGTTGGAACTGTTCTATTGCACAAAAAAGGAAAAAGAAAAAAGTAAAGCGACAGTAGCAATCATGAATTTTATTCTGAACTGTATGACTTTCAAATGAACTTTACGGGTTCCTGAGGTAGCTCATGCACGTGCCTGTGCCTGCGCAGGTGTGTGCATGCATTTGTCAGTGTGCATCTAGGGAGGGGAGAGAGGTAGTTTATTCTGCCCCACCACCACTAAAGCTTTCCAAGCATTTCATATGATTACATGACCAACCACATTAATACTTTAGGTAGAGATAAAAGAAAGTTTCCATTTCTCTCTCATTCTTCTTGTGTATGCATACATGCATATCCGAGGTCTTCAGTTTATTCAAAATCAGATTTAAGGTCAGTGGATCTAAGATGTGTCTTATTTCAACGCCCAGATTATACCAAAGCAAAAAAGAAGGACTTTTCATTAGAAATGGCAAACTTTATTTGGTCCTTCAATGACACAAGCTGAGGACTGCCAACACCCCACATGTGCCAATAAAATAATTGGGGATGGCTAACAGATCATGTAAATTATAATCCACATATATTTTATTATCACTTTCCTAAAGCGTTGCTTTAGTTTGTGCTTGGATCAAATGGCCAAAAAGGAAATTATCCCATAAAATATTACTATCATCCCAAAACTATACTGAACAGAATAGAAATCAGAAGAAACTGGCATTGGAGGCAAATGCATTATTCTGGGCTTCTCAATCTTTAACATGTTGAGACTCATAGGAAAAAATGGCATTTATATGGCATACTGGGGTAAACCGACAAGGCTCCTGGGTTTCAGCTGCCCCAGGCCCACTGGGCCGCTCTAGAATCTGAGATCAGTATGTCAGCATTTAAATATAGATTGTGGCTTTCAACCTTGAAGTCACACTGGAATCACTTAGGAAGTTAGAAAAAATGCATATTGATTCCCCCCCACTCACCGCGAGGTTTTTATTTCACTGGGCTGGGCATCAAGACTTTTTAATACTCCCAGGTGAATATAAGGTGTAGCCAGAGTTAAGAACCACTGGATTAGAAGATAGTTAAGGAAACCAAAAAACCTATCAGACTCATCTAGCTTCCAGCTCTGAACACAAGTATGAGGGAGTCTTTTTTTTTTTTTTTAATTCGGAGAAGTATAAAGAGAAAAAACAAAGTTGCAAAGTTCAAAAAATGAAAGTGAAAACTCTTCATCTCCCTCAAAACAAACACTGTTAAGTTTTCTTTGTTTTTTAAGAAAAAGCTTATGTTCATACCTACATATTTGTATCTCGAGATGTAATTTTTATTTACACTAAAGACAGCACACTACACATAGTATTCCATAAGTTTGCTTTTTAACATTCATTACATCATGAAATCTGCTCTTTGAGTGCATGGCTACAAAGTAATTCACATGTCCACACTGTATTTTATTTAACCATTCCCCTGCTGATGATCACTTTAGCTTTTCTCATTCTTTTGTTGCAATAGACATCTTTAAACATGGATTATATGCATCGTGATGAACTTTTGCAAATACTTTGCAAATTCCTATTTAGCTCAATTCCTAGAAGTGAGATCGCTGGGAGCATTTGAAATTTGGATAAATGTGGTGTGATCAACAAACATTTACAAATAAATTGATACCACCTACGTTTGCCAAACACACGATTAAGACTGTCACTTCGGAGGTCCTGGCAGAACGCGGTTGGTCAGCGGTCGCTGTCAGGTGGGGTCCTCAGCCTGCGGGGCCGCAGCGGCGGTCTCCGGGGGCGGCGCTCTAGGGTCACGTGGGCGGCTGCGCCCCGCCCCCCCGGAGGCTCGGCGCCGCGGCCGCGCCAACTCGCGCAGTAGCGTCACGCGCGGTCCGCAGCCGACCGGTCTCGCGGAGGCGGAGCGAGGGACTTGAGGAAGGTAAGTTCTGTTCTCGCCGCGGGGTTGGGCGGCTGGCGCGGGGCGGGGCTAGCGGCGCCGCTGCTTCCGGCCGGGCGGCGGGCTGGGCCTCGGGCTTCCGGCGGCGGCGTCCTGGAGCTGTGGCTTTTGCTTCCGGCTTCGGTCCCGCGTTCCTTAATCGTTACACCGCGGGGCAGGCTTCCGCTCAGTCACATGTGGCCCACCGGGCTCGTTCACCTTGGAGCGTGGGCCGCACCCTGACCTGCCGCCTCGGTGGGGCAGCCGGGCCCTCTCGGCCAGCGGTGCGGGCGTCTGCGCGCTCTGGGGCGTAAAAACCGCCCCGGTTGCTGCGGCCGCGCCGGCCCCGCTGCGCGTCTCCAGAGGTCCGCACAGCCACGCTCACACGTGAGGTTCTCGAGTGCCGCTCCGTATAACGACCGCAGACCGTCTTCACTAAAACGTTACATACGGCTTGAAGTCACGTCGGAGCTGGAAGGACCGCAGAGATGACAGCTAACGGGCCCGGAGCCGTCGCCACGGTCGCGCCCGCTGCGAACGCTCGACGTGGAGGCGGCGTTTGCTCCTCCCCGCAGCGCCGTGCCGCGGCCTTCCTCGCGGGCGCGCACCCCGCCGCACAGCCCGGTTCAGCATCCTGCCCCCAATCCTGCCCACCCGCGACTCAGACCCGGGTGAGCCCACCTGCTGGTCACAGACTCTTAAGATCGCCCGCGATGGTAGCGGATTCCAGAGCGGCTACATGACTTGATTACTTTATTAGGGAGGTATTCCGTTTTGAACATTTGTTGACGCGACTCTTGCACATCAGCATTCCTAAATTTAAAAAAGTTGAGGACCATCATCTTTGGTGATATATATGGTGATTATCTATATATAGTGTTACACATATACGCACGCACACATATACATGTGTACACACAGATGTCTTCATTTTGCCAAATGTCAAGATAGTCTACTGGCAGACCACGTGTTTTTATAAATCCGTGGCTGCTGCTTAGATGCAGTGTTAAGATTTATATATCAGTGTCCGCAAAACTTAGGCTCATAAGATCTGGGTTTGTATCGTGACTGCTACTTTGCAGTTTGGGCAAGCTTTTGTTAAAGAGGGTCCTTTACTTAGTTTTCTCATCAGGAAAATAGGTATAATCTTTACCCATTGGCCGTTTTGTGAGGATTAATGAACTCATATATGCAAAAACCCCAAGGAGTGGCACTCACTGAAGGATAGCTAGTTTTATCTATTATTATTCTGCCATCCAAAGAGATACAAAACAACTGTCTAAGGCATTTCTCTTCTCTGAACCTGAAAGCAAGGATGTCACCCTGGAGTTATGCATTCTGGTAATGTGTACGCCAAGTCCCCAGACTTAGTGAAAGCACCTTAGTCAGTGCTCAGGAGGAGTAACAAGTTCCTGTCATTTCGCGTCTCTTTTCTCCCCAGTGTCTTGTGGAAACTTATGTTTTTTTAAAATTCAAGCTGAATGGATTCCCTATGCAGGAAAGGTGTCTTAATAGAGACTGAGAATCCATTTAGCTAATTTGTAATTTTATGTGGTGTTTGCACTTTTAAAAATCTAATTTTAGGCACAGGCCAAAAAATATTTCTTGAAGAGAACTGGGGAACAAAGCAGCTAAATTTTTCAGAAGGAAGTTTTCTTATTCTAGCCCGTAAACTGGGTAAGCCATTTAATTTTTCACTTTGTTTTTATTTAGTTAAGATTCTCCTATCTTCAAGTCCACTCAAAATAGGGATATGTGTGGGAGCATATGAATAGTGCATCAAAGTAACAGTAATTAAGGTGAACACAGTGGCTCTTATTCTTGTCTAAATGGACCGTGATGTTCACAACATTTAATTAAGAATAATAAGGGTGTTAATTTTAAAGTCACAAGATATCATAAATAAATAGAACCACTTATGATTCATGAAGGGAACAATTATTTGAAGGATAATACTTTCCTAAGCAAAATGCAAGACTGTAATCATACTTCTCTGAAACTCTTATCGTTTAGCCCCAGCTTTCTCTGCTTATTTCTTATCAGCCCCTGCAAAGTTCACTACAGTTTTCCTCGGTTGGGCAAAGACTGTATGTTCCAAGCAACTGACTCTTGAGAGAGGATTGTTTTGGGGTCTCATTTATTTGGGAGTCAAGGAGAACTTAACTTTTGATGCTACTCCACATGTCATGTATTTTGTTACTTGCTTGATACTAGTATTTCTTTTCTAGTTTTTGCCTGGAAAAAGAAGAGAACTATTCATTTATTTCCCCCTCTAGTGCCAAGTTTTGAAATAAGCTGTACAAAATTCTCAAATAGTCCATTCATGATCTATGCACAGGCACATTCTCTGAGGATACAAAGTGCCATTTTTATCTCCTTTTTCTTGGATTTTGGATCATTTGCTACATAAACATAAAGTAGGATACAACTTAAATATTGAAAAAGAATAATTTTAAATATAAGAATTAATGTAATATTTTGAGATATTTAAGAAATTTTGTGTTTACTCTCCCCTTTTCTTTATAAATTTACCCAATATATATGTATGCATGAATAATATATGGTTTGGGTTTGCCTTTTTTTGCATTGGTAAAAATGGAAGCATACTCTGAATTTTTAATTTTTTTTCATTTAAAGTTACATTTTTAAAATTAATCCAAATTGATGTAGCTATACGTTTTTCACTGCTACACAGCATTCCATTGCATGAATATAAAAATTATCCATTCTACTGTTGATGGATTTTGAGTTGTTTCCTGTCTTTTGCTGATATAACCATTCCTGTGCATGTCTCCTCGTGTACCTGTGTACATTTCTCTGGAATATACCTAAAGTGGGATTATTGGGTCTTGAATATGTTCAGCTTTACTGGGTAGTGCCAAACTGTGCTAGCACTAATTGATGTCATCACCATCAGTTGCTCCATATCCTCGCCAATACGTGGTATAATTTTTTGCCAGTTTGTTGGATAGAAAATAGTATCCCTTTTGTGCCTTTGCTTTGCATTTCTTTTACATTTTCCTACTAATGAATCTGAGCATCTTTACATGTGATTACTGGCCATTCAGATTTCCTCATCTGTGAAATGTTTGTGTCTTTTGCCCATTTTTCTTTGGTTATTTGGCATTTTCTTACTGGTTTATAGGAGTTCTTCATATATCTGAATCTTAATCTTTTGTTGGTTATATATGTTGCAAAGTCCATATTTCTTTCATTTCTTTTTCTTCAGCCTATTTCCCCCCTCTTTCAGTTCATCTGTCTGTCCCCATTTTTCTTATCATTATTGCCCCTCTGTCTGTTCTGTCACAAAATGTGATAAAGGCTGCACATCCAACACATGAAGGTAAATACTACCCTCTGAGCAATTTGTGTACTTTGAGTACCTGCCAAAATCGAGTAAAACCAGATAACTGTTTAGAGATGTAATCATCCAGCCTCCTGTCAGCCATGACTAATCCAGAAAATCTTGGCCATGGTCTTCTTTGCCTTTTCTTAAAAACACTATATTTTTGCTTTTTTTATTGTAAAATAATTTTTTTAAATAGCATATGTGGATTTTTTCCATTTTTAAAAAAAGTAGGTAAGTCGGAGCAAGGGTTAACAGTGCAAACTTAAGAGTACAAATTTGACATCTCTGTAATTTCCTAAGCTTGATTTGTATAATGCTTTCATTTATATGTTGAATTCAAAGCTCCTGCCTCTTCCTGTCAGCACACATGCCCACACACAAACATCCCTCATCCTACACCTCAGTTTCGGAGTCCAGGCTTATGTAATATCTAATAACTATCTTCCTTATGGCTCAGAGGTACCCTTCTCAAAATAGTGGTCTATAAATTTTTTCTTTCTAAAGCTCACTCCTAACATATAGAGATTTTACTTCTAAATAATAATTTCTCTGTTTTACAAACTTACTTTTTAAATGAGCTACGCTCTTTTCCTCCTAACACTTTCAAACTTCCAGTCAGTCATACAGGATTAAATAAATATTTATAAAAATTTTATATTTAAAATATAAAAAAAGAACCTGTCAGAAGGCCTGAACCCTCTTGGCACTGCCATGTAACAAATTTTCCATCTTGTTGGGAGGGGATTGTGTCTAAGCTACGTACATCAAGGTCCAAGGGCCCTTTTTTTTTTTTTTTTTAGATTTTTATTTATTTAATTTTTTCCCCCCAAAGCCCCAGTAGATAGTTGTATGTCATAGCTGCACATCCTTCTAGTTGCTGTATGTGGGACTCGGCCTCAGGATGGACGGAGAAGTGGTGCCTCGATGCGCACCCGGGATCCGAACCCGGGCCACCAGCATTGCAGCGCGCGCACTTAACCACCAAGCCACAGGGCCGGCCCTCAAGGGCCCTTTTAAAGAAATTGAATATATGTGTTTGTATGTAAAATGTTAACCTAAGACAAGTGAAATCAAAATGGCAGGTTCCTGTTGATCTCTCGTTCATCATTCTATATAATCATTCTGTGTGACTTCCTATGAAATATGACAATATTACTGTATTTGAAGAGGATGTAGATTAGGAAGGATCATCTTCCTAAGATTATTTATTTGAAGTTGACACGTGATTTATAATTTCGTTAAATATCTTAAATTTTAGACAAGTGTATGTGTGTTAAATATGGTAAGCATTCCATGGCAAACTTGCTAATGTTTAACAGCATCTGGGTCTCTACAACTAACATGGGCTGTCACTTTCATTCACTTCCTTTCCTTTTCCAAATGTAATTCCTTATCTTGTATAAGGCAGAGCTGGAAACCTCTCAAGTTATCTGGAACTTTCTGTCACTTCCCACTCTGATGAAATATCCATAAAATGATGAAATTGTTAAAATGGAACTGAAAATGAAAATGTTGAGTAAAACCTAACCTTACCACAACCTTTAGAGTTGTTACATATTTTGTTTTGTGTGCTTGTGTCTGACATAGACATCTATTGAGACGTTATGACTGAAGAGTTATTTGAGGTTGAAAATACACACACACCACTTTTAAGGCTGTGTGCTTAACTGTGAATTTCAAAGAATGGCTCCTAAATGTTATACAGTGATGTATATGAATCATTATTTTGATTCAAAGACTGGATCAGATCTATGTAGAGTTGACCCTTGAGCCATTTCCTGTGAACAATATTGAGAGATTTCTGGTCTTGATTTTTCCCACCTTTTAATTTCTATATTTGGCCAAAAGTATATTTAGGAGTATAATAGGAGACAAACTTTAGAAATATAGGGTAGTAATAAGAAAAAGAGAGTAGTAATAGTTATTCTAGTTATAAGCCTTTACTTGGATGTTAACCAGTATTTGATTTCTAGGAGAGTGGAGGTTTAGGCAGTAAGTGAAGTTAGAAGGAGAAAAGAGTATAGGGTTGGCCCAGCTATTTATGAACAACCAAAGTTTGGGGACAGAGTTTCCCAGGAAGCCCATGTTTTCTTCATATATCATTCATTGTTTAATACATAGAGGTGGCCAGCATTGGAATGGATTTTACCTCACTGCCTGCCTTTTTGGCTGGATTACCAAGTATTTGCCGTTTGAGGAGAATATAGGATAAAGAAGTGAGCAGTGAGTGAATTTCATTTGATTAGCAATGGATTGGACACTCTACTGGTCTTGCTTCTCTTCAGCCTCTCTTCCACCTGACCTCTAAATGTTGATGTGCTTCAGGAATTGTGTTAGACCCTCTTCCCTATCTATGCTCCCTTCTCCAAGTGATTCCATTGAATTCCATAACTTGAAAACTCCCAGATTCATCTCTCTAGTGATTCTCAACTCTAGTCTCGTATATCTGATCGTTGACTTGATATCTCCACCTCAATGTCTCTAAGGTACCTCAAACTCAGTATGTGCAAAATGTAGCTAGTTCTTGACTTTCCATTCCTGCAAAATACCATTCCTTTCTCAGTCTTTCCCATCACAATCACAATCTACTTGGTTGCACAAACCTAAAACCTGGGAGCTATCCTTATTTATTTCTTTTTCTCTAGATCTCCATTCCAGTTCATCAGCCCAAACTCTCTGTGCCTCGTTCAGTTTTCTCACTGTAAAATTTAAGAAATACATTCTTTGTAGAAATAGGCTGGAGGATTAAATCAGTTAGTAAAGTCCTAACAGTTCTGACATGTAGTTAGCCCAATATCATTGTAGCTACTGCTATTATTTTTGTTGTTATTATTATTATTACTTTTCTCCCCCACAGAGTCAACACCCTGGTCCAAGCCACCATCTTTTCTCCCATGGACCACACGATAGCTTTCTGATTTCTGTGCTTCCACTTTTGTTTTGCTATAGTCCATTCTCCACACAGCCAGGGCATTCTTTTAAAAACGGATCATGTGACCCTTCCCTGCTTTCCAACTTCAGTGCCTTCCCATCGCTCTTAGAATAAAATCCACATGCAGTGCCGCGTGACCTGGCTCCTGCCTCACCAATCTCACTCATTATGCTCCAGTCTCCTTTCTGTTCCTCACATTAACCAGGCTTGTTTTCTTTTCTTTCTTTCCTTAAGGCTTTTGTATTTGCTGTTCCTTCAGCCTGGAATTCTCTTCCTGTAGCCCTTAGCGTGTCTAGTTCATTTGCATTTCTCAGGTTTCAGCTCAGCTGTCATCTCAGAGTCACCTTTCCAGTTCATTCTTTGCAAAATGGCCTCCCCCTGTTTCTCTCTCTCATATTACCCAGTTCATTTTCTTCATGGCTCTTATGAGCCATACACTATCTTATGATAGTGTATAATTACCTTATTTGTGTATTTGTTTACTTATTATTGGTCTCACCAACTAGAATATAATTTCTAGGAGGGCGGAGACCTTATCTGTTTTACTTCCTTGAAGTGCCAGTCACATAGTGGGTGTTCAGAAAATATTCACCAAATGAATGATCATTTCTAACAAGGAAGGAGAACTTTGGACGAGGAGAATCTGAAGATCTACTTTTGAAAGTTTTCTTTTTCTTTTGTAATTCTGCTGTGCTAAAGATTATTGTCAACAGCCACTCCTTGAGAATTCTGCCTGCTTGCTTTTTCAAACATATTTCTCCCCAAACAGATTACAGAGAAACTTGTCATCAGTGTCCCAAAGATAAAAGTAGGTTGTGATTAGATGTTACCATCAACCTTTAATTTCTGTCATACAGTAAAGGGGTTGAAGTAGCCCTGCTCTGAGATAATGGTCCAGGTACATACAGGATCTCAAGCCTGAGTGTTGTGGGCAGCCTCTCTCCTGTCCACTCACATAGTGGAGTGAGCTTGCCTTATGCTAGTTGTAAAGCTGGATATTGTCCAGAAGTTAAAAGATTCCCATTCTCCAGCAGGGGGTAGAAACCATGCAGGGATATCGGATAATGTAATTATTAGGAAACAAAGGAAAAGGCAAAAACCCTTTGAGTGGTCTCAGTTTCTGTCTTGGGATTTTTATTTCATTACAGGCAAAGATTCAAAATCTGCTCTTGCCTAGGGGAGAAAGCTCTTTGTCAACCCTGACATAAGATTATACATGGTTCTTTTACACTTTTTGAAAGTTATAGACCACCATAATCTCTATCCTGAGATAGGGAGGAAAAGCAGGAATCTTTCCAGAAACTTGGGGATAGCCACTTTAATGGAAAGAGGGTAGGAATAATCAGATAGATCTGGGATTAGGAGTGGAGAAAGAACAAATATAGAAATTCTTGGCAAAACAAGATATATAGTTTTATTCAGAAACTATCACAGAAAGAAACCGTAAATACCCCCATTTGGGAGGTCCATCCTCTACATGGAGCCTGAAACCCCTGACCCTGGTGTGTATCTTGATGTTTTCTTCTCACATGGAATTAACAGACTATGTTCCTAAAGTATACAGAAGGGCTGTTTCAAGGGGTTGCTTTCAAAGAAATAGTTAAATGTCTGTGCTGAGAAAAAATATATTTAGAACAATACCTGCAAATTTGGGTTTATATATCTCTGTAAATTAATTGAAGAGAAAGTCATCTCTTTGAATGCTCAAATAAGGCAGAAGAAAGTAATGACAATTTCTGTCTGGGTTACGAAAATGAGAGGTGTCCATTCACACCTATTCGCTTCTGCTAGAATAGTTATCTGGTTGATCTGTAAGAGCTGGCTGTCCACTCCAGGGAAACCAAGTGAGCCGCCTCAACCAAGGGGTCCAAGCCTATTCAGACTATCAAAGAATCCTACCTTCAGCAGAAGGCTAAAAACAACACTGATAATAACCAGATGTTGTTTAGCATTAAATTTGATAGGGAATGAAAGGAGAGTGAAGGGTCAACCTAGTGGCCCGGGGTTCGCCGGTTGGGATACAGGGCACGGAGCTATTCACTGCTCATCAAGCCATGCTGAGGTGACCCACATAGAAGAGCTACAACTCTACAACTGTGATACACAATTATGTACTGGGGCTTTGGGGAGAAAAAAGAAAAAAAATGAGGAAGATTGGCAACAGATGTTAGTGCAGGGCCAATCTGCCTCAAAAACGAAAGAAAGAAAAGGAGAGTGAAACTTTAGTCTCTGTGTCTTGGGAGTTCTAAAATATCCATCTTACACATTGAAATTAATTAAGTCCAGTCTCAAAGGGGGAAGTCCTCCCTCATTTTGGCAAGTGTTAAGAGTCTAACTCAAAATCATGACTACCTATAATCCAGTATTTATAAATGTTTTATTTTATAGAACTACAAAAAAATGCCTCCCTTGGTCTCAGAGAAATCAGACTTCTCTATGATTATCTCTGTGAGTTAAGTTATAGACAAACTAGTGAAGACCACTTGCAATTTTCTTTTTCTTTTTTTTTTTTTTTGTTCCACTAGCATGGATCTTGATGGCTCTGAACAAGATCCTGAAATGAAGGAATATTCTTCTGTCTGTGTTGGCAGAGAAGTTGACATGAAAAAATCTGAAAGAATGACAGCTGTTGTCCATGATAGAGAAGTGGTCATTTTCTACCACAAAGGAGAATATCATGCTATGGATATTCGCTGTTACCGTAAGATTTTATTTTTCATTTGTAAACCTTCTATTTGTTTCCTAACTACAAAACTATCAAAATTTCAGGTTTTTAGTGACTAGATGTAATATTCAATTCCTTTTCAGACTCAGGAGGACCTTTACATTTGGGAGAAATAGAGGTATGTAAAATTAAATCTATTCTCAACAAACTCGGATGTTTCCTTATTTATATTCTTATTTCATTCTGTATTCAAAAATAATTTTTATTTGGGTTTGAACTATATTTTAACGCTTTAAGTATAATTGCTAATATTCTTGGAATTCACAACCATACAAAGAAAATCATTTCAAGATAAATATGAGAAATAGGCATGTCTTCTAACTTAGCAGTTATACTCTTGAGATATCTACCCTACAGATATAATTGCACAAATGTGTAAGTATATATATAGGAGATGTTCATTGTAGCATTATTTTAATGAAAAATTGAAGGCAACCTAAATGTTTTAACAATAGGAAACAGTTTAAATAAATTATGAATAGCCATGCTGTGGAATACTGTGCAACCATTAAATTAATGAGGCAGATCTATACGTATTGGTATGGAGGGATGTCAACCGTATATTTTTGAGTGAAAAGAAGTCATGGAATAATAGGTCTAATGAGATCCCATTTTTTGAATAAAAAATAACATTCACTTTTTACTTTACATTATATTTACTTTATATTATATATTAATTCTGCACAGTTTGAATTTTTCCAATGAGTATGTATTACTTTTATAATGGAATAAAAATATATATATTTTAAGAAAGAAACCGCACTTTGAAGGCTTAACTGAGGAAGGAATGGGGGAACAGTCTTCCTTGCATACCCAGACTAGCTGCCTAATTTCTTATTTTCTACTTTATAAAACTGATACCTTTCTCTCTCTCTCTGACTGTAAAAAATACAAGCTTAAACTTAGTGTTCCACTCTCTATATTCTTGATATCTACCTAGTTCCACACCTCTCCTCATGTTAAAGGATATATGTGTGCTTAAATTATGAAAATAAGTTTGTGAGTTACGAAAATGTGAATGTTTGCTGACAGTTATGTTGGGGTACAGTATCAGTATTCCTGCACTTCTGGTGTAGAGAAAAAAATGTTAGCACCTGGTGATGATAATGTGGAAGAATTTCCCTCAGTTTCACACCATAAGGAGAACTGTAAGAGCTTGCTACTCAAAGTATGTATGGCCCATAGACTAGCAACATTGGTGTCATCTGGGAGCTTCTTAGAAATGCAGAATCTTGCTCCCCGCCCTAGGACTACTGAATTGAAACAAGATCTACATTTAAACAAGATCCAGCTGATTCCCATGCTCTTTAAAATTTGAGAAGTACTGCTTTAAGACAGTTAAAAAGTAGGGAACTGACTACTTTGGATCGTAAATTGCTCTTCAATTAACATATACACTCATGCCTTTAGTAACCTCTCTTGAATTTGTATCTGAAGCTTATCATTCTTCCAGCAGCTAGTGAAAATTCCTGTAGAAGCACTTGAAGCCCTTGCCTCATTTCTGTCAAGGAAGTGACCTTCTCATCTAATAGATAATAGCACAGCTGCAGTCACATGGTATAGTTGCCTGAGCTAGTTATCTTCTCATGGAGCTCTAATACAGTGGGTTCTAATCAACTGCAAAAGGGACTTGGTGACTGCCAAGATGAGGTTCTGCCTTTTGCTGAATAATTTGTAAATGAGAGGAAAAAAGAGAGGCTGGCCTGTTCTTTAACCTGGTTCTTCTGCAATAGATTCCGTTCTGAGGTTGAGGTTTACTGTGAATATTGGAACTGTCAGGTTATTAAATCAATTATTTCCTTCCCCAGGATTTTGATGGACGACCGTGTATAGTTTGCCCCTGGCATAAATACAAAATTACTTTGGCAACAGGAGAAGGTCTGTATCAGTCTATAGACCCTAAAGATCCATCAGCAAAACCCAAGTGGTGCTCCAAAGGAATAAAGCAAAGGATTCATAAAGTGACAGTGGACAATGGGAATATTTATGTGACTCTTTCTACTGAATCTTTTAAGTGTGACTCTGATTTTTATGCCACTGGAGACTTCAAAGTAATTAAGTTTTCTTCCTGATAAAATTACATGGCAATGAAAAATGCTGTGTGTGTTTCAAAAATATTTTTAGAATAACCTTGCTTCAGTACCAAAGATTAATTTTTTCAACATAGGCACATTTATTACTTTTCTTTAAAAACCATATATATCTGAGAGGTTCAAAAGCACATGTACCTAGTCTGATATAAGGATTATCATCAGGATCTATAGAAAACATTTCATCCAGTCCTCTGGATTGATTAGAACCTGAAGGTGATAGGTTTGGAATGTGCATTTTAAGAAGGATGAGAATAATCTGGAGTAACCAAAATGAAGAAGAGGTAATAAGTAAGATCTACTAACAAAATTTGGGGGGAAAATCCCTGTTTGATATAGCATACTTTATCATGGAAAAGTTTTAATATATACAGAGTCAAATAATAAACTCCCATCACCCAACTTCAACAGTTATCAGCATTCTTTCATTCTTGTTTCATTGATACTTCCATGCATTCTGCATCTCCCCTATTTGATTGTTATTATTCTTTTTTTTTTTTAAGGTGAAATTTAAATACATTGAAATGCTTAAATCTTAACTGTTCAGTTTTTCCAAATATACAGCAGACTTTTTACACTTAAAAAAATGCCTCCAAAAATGGGATCAATTTACATGCTGAATTTAAAAATAAGAAACTTATCAATGTGCTGGACATCAAAACCAAATAAACCTTGGTTCACTTTCTCTCCAGTCAAGGCAGACAGTCTCAAAGTAAGGAAGACACAGCTGCTGCCTAGCCATGAGCAATGTGAAGTCTCCTATTGAGTAAGCCAAAGTACTCTGAATGGCAGAGTATGAAATTTTCAAATAAAAGTTTTTTTATTTTTAGAGAACTTTGTGCATGTATGTACAACAATGTGTTTCATGTAAGTGTTATAGAGAGAAGAGATGTGGGGTGTTGTTCCTCAGAGTCCCTTCTGCTGAGTTCACAGGCCTGGTTGATGGTCAGTTGGTTTACCCTGCTTTTACCACGCCAGTTCTTGATGGCCCGCGCTGCTCTGGTTGCCTGGTGCCCACACTATACTGTAACACCCTGGGTGCTGATCATCCAAAACTCAGCAGCACGTAGTAGAATATAAAAGTAGGTGGGGCCAGAAAGAACTAGGATGAGCAGATTTTGAATTCAGAGTGAGAAAAGCTGTCTGTCAAGATTGGAACTCAGTCTCAAAACACAGTAATCTTCTTAGTGGCATAGGATTAAATTAAGGTTCCAAACCTAATACTTAACATTCTAAGGGGCCCACTTAGATTCTCTCCCTTGGTTATTGTAAAAATAATAAGTGAATACAGTATGTATCATTAAGGCTCTGCTTACAGAGCCCTTGGCTACATATTATTACATTTCCTTTTCTGTTGGAATATGGGTAGCATGAGCTAATACAATACTTGTTACTCATTTCTCAGACTACTACTAAAGAGCCAGGGTTGGGCTTTTTATAAATACTGTTTATGGCAGCAGCTACTCACCAGGTAATGCAGCATCTCTGGGATGGGTACATCCTAGCCTATTATATCAGGTGCTAAGCCTCCAGTGACCAGTCAGGTCTTAACACATGCCCAGAATTTAAAATGCATGGAAGAAACCAAAGTATCTCCTGCAAGCAAAACCATGGCCCTGGTTTGCAGGGCCAACGACAGAAGCATTTTCTCTCAGGATTCAGTGGCAACAATGAGTAATATGGACTTGATTTCTGGTTTTAAATTTGTTCCTCTAAATCTGGAAATAAAAAATGTCATGTCCTGTCCTCATATGCAGAAATCTTCCCATCAATTTGTAAATAATATTTTGTTTTATAAATTTATGACATCTGTGAATTGCAAGTCTCTCATAACTTTACAGATGAGTTATAAAAGAATTGATAATAGGCAGACTCAAACTATGCAGCCTGTAGATAAAAAATAAATATCTTTTATCTCTAAAAAAGATATGTAGCATTTTGATAGAGATATTTCCCTCCCAGATAAATAAAGATACTTGAAACAAGTCTTTAATAAAAACATAAATGTATTATAAATACACCCATATTATAAACCACAGCATAAAGTCTAACCCACCTAAAGGTACATTTTCTTATTCATTAAAAAATATCATATAGTCATACATACATTCTACATCAAGATTCATTTTATTTTCGCTACCATATAAATACTAGAGAACGACATTTAGTAGTCCCCCCGCCCCCGCTTTTTTAAAGCAGAACAGTCAGTATATAAAAACTAGTTTTCTAGTTTTGTCAGATGAACTGTCATTAGATAGATAACTCTTAAGCTCTGTTCAGTGATATTTATGTTCACATTTGCTCATTCATTCATTTCAGTTGACTGGTCAAACACAGAATGTAAAACCTGAATCTTATTACTCAACTTATTAGCAGGAAGTTTGGGGCGATCTAAAATATTGTCTGGCTTCTCTGGTAATGACCTGTAAGGTTTTGCTTTGATTTCACCTTCAGGAAACACAGGCTCAGAAAGCACAGGCTCAGAAAAGGCTTTTCTAAGATTTTCACTCTCCTCTCTGTTTTGCCTTATGGATTCTTCTTCTTGGAAAATTATCTTTACCTTCTCCAGCACAGCATTAACACAGACCGTCTAATAATAAAAAAATTTTTTGAAAGGTAAAGTTTCTTTTTAAGCTACTAAACTTACAGATAAAAAGTCCTATAAAATGTTTAACATAAAGTCATTAATGTCCATATTCTAATAAAGAAGCACTTCTATTCAGGAACCCCTGGCACATGATAAACATCAGGAGATTGATTCCTTGTTCTAAATGTATCACACCACAATCTAGAAAGAAATTAAAACCTAGTATGCTTCAATAAGGGCATGCTTTACATCTTTTTTCCCCAACTCATTAGTTTTTTTGCATCTTTATTCTCTGATTTATAATGAAGCATTTTCTGAGAGAGGCAATTTATCCCCAAACATTAATATCTCAAAGTAGACTTTTTGTTTTTACTTTTTTCCCCCTAGACTTTGCTTATACCTATGTGTGTAATTGGAAGGGCATAAACATTTTGTAAGAATTTAGTAAGCTAGTAGATCAATGACTTCTAAGCAAACGTGATCCACTTTCCCTCAAAAAATGCCATTCAGTACTTTAAGGAAGAGTGTCAAAACAAAACATAGAGAAAAATAACTTCAAAAATTGAGAATTACTAAAAACTGTTATCTGTTAAACTTATTCCGTAAGTTACTAATGATGATGATGCCAAGTATTTAAGGTAAACAACAAGAATAATAAAATCCATGAAATACGAGAAGACCTAAACTAGCTTATTTTACCAAAGAGATGCCTCAAGGTGACATAATAGGCTGTAAACACTTGGAAAGTTTTCCTAAAGAGGGTAACAGAGGAAAGACTGAAGGCCTGGGCTTGAACAGCCTCAATTTCCTCCTGACCTCCTGCCTCCTCCTCTCTTGCCTGCCTCCCACTACAAAATGGGGGAACACCAGATGCTTTCCTTCACTTCCCTGCAGTTAGTGTGTGGCCACGTGACCTGTTCCGACCAATGAAGCAAAAATATGTCTGCGGCGGAGGAGGTCAGGAAGGATTTTTGGAAAAGTTTTCTCCCTAGACAAAAAGAAAGACTGTCTTTTGCCTCTACCTATGCCCTCCTTCCTGCTTTGGACACTGACATGGATGTGATGCCTGAGCATGAGGCAACAAATCTAAGGACCAAAAACAACAAACAGGACAGCGGAAGAGAAAGATGGAAAGGCCATGATGACATGTAGATCCACTGTACAAACCTGGGAACTGCCTAACCCCAGACTTCTAATAAAGTGAGATATTTAAGTATGTTTATCAATTAAGGCACTGGCAGGTATTTTTTGTTACTTGCATCTGGGTCTATCCAAACCTAGAGCTATAAACATTGAGGCCCATCGCTTCCAGCTACAAACTGCTTCATCCATTTATCCCAAATATGATCATTTTCTTTATATGCCATGCTGTGAAAAAAGGTTGGGAAGCCCTATCATATTTGATACATTTCTTCTTCCCTCACCTACAAAATTTTATCTGTGCCCATTCTAACCACTTCTGTCTCAGTCTCAGAAAATGAAGGGTCTTGATCAAGGTCAGCATCTCGCTCTTTGCTTTTAACCTATACCCAGCATCCTCTCTATTTCCCTGCCTCGTCAACCTCTCCTTCTTGACTGGCTCTTCCTCTGCAACCTAAGACATGCTCAAGTATCTTCTATCCTAAAATTTAAAAATTAAAAATCCCTGCGGCCCTGTTTCCCTCTTGACAGAACATACGCTGTCTTTTCTTGATCAAACAAGAGGCTACATTCATGGTTTCCATTTTATCATTTCTTTACTTCCAAGCCTGCTTATTTATGTCTTCCTTATCCCATCACACCACTGAAATAGTTCTCAAGATGGTTAACTCCAGCATCTTTAGTTAACTAGATCTATTGGACACTTTCTTTTTTTTTGTGAGGAAGATCAGCCCTCAGCTAACATCCATGCCAATCCTCCTCTTTTTGCTGAGGAAGACCAGCCCTGGGCTAACATCCATGCCCATCTTCCTCCACTTTATACGGGACGCCACCACAGCATGGCCTGACAAGCGGTGCGGGCCCGGGATCCAAATCCGGGCCGCCAGCAGCAGAGTGCGCGCACTTAACTGCTATACCACGGGGCCGGCCCCTGGACACTTTCAAATCTTTATTTTACTTGACATTTTCTGCTTGTATTTGATGCTTAATCACTCACAACTTCCTGAGTCTCTATTTCCTTGATATGTTTCTCCTGATTCTCTTCCTACTTTTCTGATCTTTGTCTCCTTTGTAGATTTTTTCTCAGCTCACTAAGTAAATGTTGCTGTTCTTCACATTTCTGTCAACTTTCCACTCTTTTCACTTGGCATGGTTCCACTCAGAGGACATTAACTTGCAACATATATGTTGTTTGTTTTCAAAACCATAATTCCAGCCCTGACCTCTCCTAGGCCTTGGTTGCATAGATAACCAGTCACCAGGTCACCAAAAAATTGTTTATGTTACCAACTTAGAAAGTTTATAGTGTGAAAAATCATATAGGATGATTTCAAAAGGCTTTGAGAAATCAGAGTTTAATTTTGGTTTTAGTCTAGTTTGTTTTAGTTTCACCATAACCAATTCATCCCACCCATTTTTTGCAGCATATTTGCATCCTAGTTCAGTTGAATGTCAATTCTGTATGAGATTCACATCTCAAAAATTTAAAACACTTGCAAAATATTTATTTGATAAATTCAGTTTTTGAAAAAACCTGTGACTATGTTTAAAAGTAACTTCTTTTACTTTTTTTTTCCCAAGGATTTCTTCGCTATTCTTGACCCTTTGCATTTCCCTATAAATTTTAGAATAAATCAGTCAACTACACACACACACTTGCTCAGATTTTAACTGGGACTGCACTGAATCTATAAATTATGGGGAAAAGTTAATCTTTATTACTGTGTGTTTCAATAACAAAAATGTGCAAGACCTCTATCAAAAAAACCATAAAAATTAAGAGAAATTAAAGAAGACCTAAATAAAAAGAGGGATATACCATGTTCATGGATTGGAAGAAGGATTTATTCTACCAGTTATCAAGACTTATTATAAAGCTCCTGTAAATAATACAGTGTTGAATTGGTACAAGAATAGACAGATAACTGAATAGAAAAGAGAGTCTATAAACAGACCTACATATAAAAGGACACTTGATTTATGACAAAAGACATATTCTGTGGCAATAGGAAAAGTTTGTGGTTTTTTTCCCCTAATAAATTGAGTTGGATCAGTTGGGTACTAATGGAGGAAAAATTTGACCCTTATCTCATACTAATTCCAGATGGATTATAAATCTCAAAGTGAAAGGTAAAATAATAAAGTTCCTAGAATATATCAGAGGATATAGTTTCATGATCTTGGGTGTACATCAAGATTCCCTAATTAAGACATAAAAAGCACTTAAAGGAAAATACTAATAAATTGGACTACATTAAAATTAAGAACTTCTGTTTTAAAAGACAGTGCTAAAAGAGTAAAAAGGCAAGCCACAGAATAAAAGAAATTTGCCAATAGGTAACCAAAAGAGGGCTGGTTCCTAGAATATATTTAAAAAGTACAAATCAATAATAAAAAGATAGACAACTCCCAATAGAAATATGAGAAGAGACTTTAAAAGAAATTCACAAAAGAGGCTATCCAAATGTCCAATTAATATATAAAAAGGTACTCAATCTCATTAAATCAAGGAAATGCAAATTAAAACCGCAATGTGATAATACTACATACCACAAGAATGGCTAAAATGGAAAAGACTGACAATACCAAGTGTCAGTGATGATACAGAGCTACTGGGACTCATATAATCTGCTGGGATGAGTTGCTAAAACCATTCTCGAAAAATGTTTGGTAATATCTACTAGAGATGAACATGTGCATATTCTGTGGTCCAGAAATTTCACCAAAACAGATGTACAAGTATATTCATAGCAACTTTATTCACAATAGCTCAAACTGTAAATAATCTAAATGTCCAATAATAGAGTGGATAAACAGTAATATATTCAATCAATGGAATACTACACTGCAATAAAAATCAACAAACTACTGCTATAGGCAACAAATGAGTGAATCTCACAAGGATAATGTTGAGCAAAAGAAGACAAATATAAAATAATATATAGTATATGATTTCATTTATATACAGTTCAAACAAAACTGTCTATGGCATCAGAAGTCAAATAGTGGTTGCCTTTATAGAAGAGGTTAGTGATTATGAGGAAGGCAAGAAAGGCTTCTAGAATGATGGTAGTGTTTTGTTTCTTGACCTGTGTGGTATATAGGTTAATAGATTTTGTGATAGTTCATCAAGCTGTATACTTTATATGTTATGTTTTTTTTAAAAAAAGTTAAAGGTAAGTATAAATGGCAATGGATTAAAAGAAAATCCTTTATATTTTTGTCATGCTTTTTAATGAACACTTTTGAATTACAGCACTTGTAATTCAAAATATACTAATATCAAAATGATAGACCTAAAAAATGGAATACTGAACTTTAGCCAACCATGGCTCAATGGCTGAAAGAAAACAACTATAGCTAAATGAAAGAAAAACCAAAATGTTTTGACCAAACAGTAATAAACTTTATAAAAATAAATAATTTTAGTTACTTAAGCAAATTAGTTTTTGGTGGATTGATATGGCTTCTCAGAAAAGTAAATTTTTAATGTTAAATTATTTTGTGTAACAAGACAACAGTACCTTAGTTTATGAATGGACTATACAGTATATCTTTAACATTACATAAAATAATATTTATTTCTAGATTCTAATCATTTTCTTAACTTACCAAATAAATTAGTGCTGCATATGAAGCATACATTATGCTAGTTAAAGCAGTCTTTGCTGGAAAGGAAATGATTTCAAACAAAGAACACTTTCTGACCTGCAAAAACAGAAACGAGGTTTTATTTAAAACAAAAGTTTTCAATGTTAAATTTTACAATGTTACCGTAAAATGAGAACTTAGATATTTCTCTCTAAAGAAAGTCATCTACTTGAGATCTATCTGGGGTTTTTTTACATTCTGAAAATATATTGGTTTATTTTTCTCCTTTTACAAAAAGATACTTTCTTTTGCCAATCAAAACCTCTGTCAAATCTATAAAACACCTTGCTTTCTCAAATCTAAATAACTTTAACTTTTTTACGTTTACCAAGTGTGCTCACTAGGGGGTGCCACTGTGCATGTCAGAAAAAGTCTTTGTTCCAATTCAAGTAATCATCCTTTACTAAATTATTCACCTCTTCAATTAAGCAAACATCAGTCAAAATACTGAGCATGTCCTAGAGATTAATGACCTGCTTGGAGATTGCTGAAGGCCAGCATTAATCTTAGATGATGATTAAGCTTCAGGAAATGCTCTGTGCTCATATCCAGCATGCTCTTTTGAAACACAGAGGTTTACACAATAATGAATTTGTCTCTCAGATGTTTCTAGCTTCTGGTAATAGAAGGTGTCCCTGCCTCAAACATAACTGTATAATATATTCAGTTTAAAAACTGTACTCTCTTATAGGCCACCTCTGTTGCCTTGAGCAGGTTATGAAATGAAGACATTAAGAAAAACACTCCTTTCCCATTCAGCATTGAAGTGGCAACTAGCTATTCTCCTCTGAAGTAAGTCAAGCCACTCCATGGCTTCAATACTTCAAAGGTATAGGCTGTTACTAACAAAATCATGTAAAGGCACAGTAAAAATGCACAAAAACTAGAAAGAACAGTATGTAACTATTCATTAAAAGTTTTAACATTGGAAAACTGAGAAATTGATAGCAGATGGTTAGGTAAATTATGCTATATCCGCTCAATGGTATATTTTAAAAGGTGCTTCTGAAGAACGTGATAACATTTTATTGAACAAACATTTATATGGTACTGTGTACCAAGTCCTGTTTTAAGTGCTTGTTGTAGTATACTCAGTTTTTACTGATGTTTTACTCATTTTACTTACTGATGCCACTACTGAATGAAGAACAAAATTGCCCACCATAATTTCCCTTTTTCTCTCTTAAGTGATTTATGGAATACTGAAGCCAAGAATACTATCTAGCCTAGTAGCTAAGAGATGGTGGGGTGGGTTGGAGGGGTGAGGGGGTTTCCTTCTTATTCCCTACCTTTCAGGCCAGATCAACTCTTAGATATAGGGATAGGTAGGGGCAGTTTTAGCCCACTCTCTCCATAAGTCAGTCTGGAAAATTGCCCAGAGTTCCTGGCTTCTGAAAAGAGTTTCCAGGAAATGAAGCAGCTGCTGCTCTTTCCCTCTTGCTACAAGAGTCAAAATGATAGCATGCCTTTGAATCCCACTATTCGGCTAAAAGGAGACAAACATACAATTAGAGAGCAGACATTAGGAAGGAAAGCAGATACACTCCAACGCAATGCCTCCTAGCCGAGTAAAAGATGAATGAGTTTGTGAATATGTGGATGTAAGTGGGAATCCATACTCAATAACTGGTAGGCCATATACAATAAAAATGAAAGTGGTGTCTGCACGCATGAGAGATTACTCTCTGTTTCTGTTTCACTGCATCTTTCTTTCTTTTTCAGATTTTGTCTTTCATCTAGAAGTAATTAAAACTGATTGTTTCAAAATGAATTATATATTTGATATACATTATGCTTCTGAATGATGAATTTGTATATTGCCTAAGGGTCACTTTTTCACCATGTTAATGCTTTTAATAAATACTTGCTATTCCCATAACAAATCATCCCCATAGTAAATACATTTCCTCTAAAATTTATGCAGCTACTGGAAGTAGCCATTTTTCAATTTTATGACTCACTTGCAGTATATGTTTTTTATATTATAAACCACGCTGTTTCATTTTTGGCTTGCTATGAGCAGAAATAGTGTATGGTAAAAACAGATAAATAAACAGGAGAAATTTGGTAAATGAGAGGCTTTATTTAGATTGTCTTGGCCTATTTCAAAAATTTTATCATAACCTTGCTGTTATATTAATTTATTTGCACATGTAAAAGTATCTTGGTATCAATATTATTTCTCTCATATATTTCTTTTTTGAATTTGGTAATATTAACATATAAGATACATGGATATTTCAACAGTAAAAAGATTTCGATCTTTAAATTTATCCCACATAATTTTGTGTTCCACTTCTCCCACATAATTTTGATTGCCTGATCTCATAAAAGAAGTATCTGTGTTCATCTTATTTTCACTGATGATAAGGTAAATCACAAATAAATAAGATAAATCACCCTAGCTAATACATATCACCCAAGTAAAGTTTAGAAAATAAAGATCTACTTATAGGTGACCTGAAGGTTGGAGAATTACCAGGCCCAACTAAGTTTATGTTGTCCAAAACCACCTTGATGAGGGATACTAGGGGAGTAATAAGGGAAAGTCTAACTTGTGATTCACAAATAAGTGTTGCAAGAAGTACTGACTGCTGTTAATAGACAGGTCCAGAGAAAAATGTTTCCCATGAGTTTGGGAAAGCTACATGACCATGTCCCTGCTTAGCAGCCCATAATACTCATAAGTACAGGAAAGACTCCTAGCAGGCCACAGTAAAGAAAACTATTTGACCTCGTTTATCCCAGTATTAACTTCCTTTGGACACTTGTTCTTGAATAAGCTCTTAATCAGGTGGTCCTGTAAAAGCTCAAATGTCACAACCTCTTGGCCAACCTGGAGAAGTATGTCTTCAAGATTCCAGAGGTTCTACCTTCTAGGAATTGTCCTTTTTTCCCAGGTCTTGAATTATACCACCCAAAGTAGCCTCGTGGCAGGCCCCTTAAGGACTTACAGAAGTTCTTGATATTTGTGAGGTTTACAGTTTAAACCCCAAACTGGAATCTACCTTAGAGGGTTGGGGGTGAGGAAGAAACTTTACTTAGATAAGCCTCTGCCCTTCATCTTGAAAGAGGGAGCATAAGTTGACTGGGATCCACTCATGGCACAGGCATTTTAGAGGCTGAGGGTTTTCTTCACTTTTGCCCATATCTTGCCTACACCACTCCACAGTGCCTGTACAAAGTAGAAACAGTCATCTCTAATGCTACTATCAGGAAGATTCTATCACAAGAAGAGCTCCTGGTTCTGTGGCCCTGCATTGGCCTGCCCAAGTCAACAACTATGTCTGGGAGCTGACGCATCTTGGCTGAAGTCAGTGTTCAAGCTGATTATCTAGGTCACTGCAGCCTAGAGCAGCTGCAGGCTTCACTCAGCCAGGCAGCTTACAAGGCTAAGCAGATGCGTCATTCTGTAAGTACTAGTGCTGGGGATGCTGAAAAACACCAGGAAATTCTCTACTCAGAGTTCTCCATTCCAGAGGCCCCTTTAGAACTAGCACATATATCGCTACAGTCTCAGCCCTGCAGAACCTGGAAGGGTTTGAGGAGCAACCTGACTCAGCACCCATAGAGCCAGGTGCAAAACAAGTCTCTTTTAACAAGATGGCCAGCTGGAAAGGCCTGACTCCAACTCTCTGTGCTCACGTGAGAGCAAGCCATCAGAATGTCTTTAGGTCACTTGTATAGGTTGGGTCTTTGGGTAATTCATATTTGGCACAATATCTTTGAATATGCTAAGATATATAGGACCTGCTCTAGAGGTGAGCATCCAACCAAAAAGGCTGAGTAGATTGTCAAGGGAGCTCCCGTGACAGCGTCCATTCTCTAATATCTTGAGGAGATCATTACTGTATGCTGCATCTCAGACCACACCAAAGGGCTGAAACACTATCCTAGTTAGAGTCAGTGTCCTAATGAAAATGCTCCTCTATTCTGTGTTCTTGAGGGAGGTAATCGCCTGACTGGCATTCCCAGCTACATTTATCCAGCAGAGTTTTGGTAGAACCATGTAAGGTGCTCTAGGTACAAGTGCATCTTTCCATCATGCATCATCCTCAGATCAGTGACAAGACAGAGCACATGAGGAGGATCTTTGACACATACCTTCAGATAGGCTGCTTACCTTCCTACATAAAGTGATGTCCTCCAAGCATCCACAAAGCATATCCCCTTGCATAGTAATTCCAGATTTCACTCCTTTTACTGCTGCACACCACAAACTTCCACCTTGACACAGGCAGCCTGGATAGATACACTCCATTCACAGGCCAATCCATTGACCTCCACCACACCTCATACATTACTTTGTTGTTCCTTTGACTCTCAAGGCCATTGTCTTCACTATTCATACTTCTATTTCTGTCCTCACTGAGATTTTCAGATTTGAAATATGTTGTTTTCTTCCTTGTTGCAACTTAGTTTCCTCTCAGTGGCAATTCTGATTCTCCACCCTAGCTAATATATATTACTCAAGTAAAGCTTCTTCCTCACTCCCAACCCTCAAGGACCCCAAAACCTCTGACCTGGGACTGTTCCCACTTGTCTCACTCCAGCCACATGGAACTACGTATATTTTCAAATAAGTCATGCTCTCTCTTGCCTCAGCATCTTAATTTACACTCTTCTCTTCCTGGAATGCTTCTCCTACTTCTTCATCTGGCTAATTCCTCCTCCTTCAAGTCTCAGATCCAGTATCATCTTCTAGAAAGCCTACACTGACTACTCTTCAGAATTACATGCCCCTCCTTGATGCTTCCGTAGTACACTCTGCACACTTTGATCATGCACTTGCTATACTCTACTGATGTTGCTTACTTGCCGATCAGCCCCACAGTCCACAGGGCAAGGCTGAGACATCTATGAACCCTTAGTACCTAAACTAGTGATTTTACAAGTCAGGTTTTCAATAAATATTTGATGAATGAATGAAAAGGTAGAATTATACTTCATTCACTTCCAAAATGAAATTTAACCATCTTATATTAAAATTTGTAAAAGATAGTAAGAAGTTAGGTTGAAGGACATCTGGTTCCAGCAACATGGTAGTCTGAGCTAATGTGGAACCCCTCACACAAAAAAACCTAGAAATTCTACATAAAATCAAACTCCAAAAATTTAATACAAGACTGACAAGTGTGTGAGCTTATGTCCCAAGAACTCGGGATGTTATCTACCCTGAAATAATGGCTGGGGGCTTGAGTTTTAATAGAGCCTGGAGCTGAGCCCTGGATGCACATGAGGTGAGGATTAGGCCTCTGCAGAGCTGCAGTCTCAGTGAACATGGGACTAGAACAACTGTACCCACGAGTCCAGGAAGAGAGTAAGGAAGCTGGTCTCCACCAGCGGCTGATACCCCTGGAGCACAAGCAAAATCCTCAAGAGGGACAGTTCTACCACCAAGGCCAGATGAGATTTCTATTTTTAAAAAACCCCTGTTGAAGAAAAACTTTCAGTTAAAAAAAAAATGACAACAAAGGAAATGATCTATGAGTGAGATACAACACAGATCACAATAGTCAGGAAGATGAGCATCCCCACATATCTCAAAGAATAATCTTTAAAAAGACCATAAATAAGGATGTTTAAAATAATTAAAGATTTTTTAAAAAAGAAATAAACATGTAAATGATACTTTGAAAAGAAAAAAGTGGAAATTTGGGAGAAAACACCAAATAGAACTTCTGGAAATTATAAATATAATGTTTGAAATTTAAAATTCATTGAATAAGTAAAAGAGCATATTAGATACAGCTGGAGAGAACTGGTTAACTAGAAGATGGATCAGAGGAAATTATTCAGGATGTATCGAAAAGAAAAGGAAAATCTGAGGCAGGTAAATAGACATAAAGAATAAAATGAAAAGGTCCAAAGTATGTTTAATAGGCATTCCAGAAGAAGAGATTAGAGAAAATGAGAAAGAGGCAATATTTAAAGAAATAATGGCTAAGAATTTTCCAGAATTGAAGAAATTATCCTCAGATTCAAGAATCACAATGATTCAAAAAAAAGTGTACCCATTCTGAAAAGTGTACCCATTTTGATAACAGTTAATAAAATTGAAGGTGTGCCTCCCTTGTGACCCAGCCATCCCTCTTCTAGATATACACCTGGAGAATGTCTCATACATATGGATAAGAAGTCATTTAAAAGAGTGTTCATTGAAGCACTGTTTGTAATACAAAAAATTTGGAAACTAAATTGTCCATCTGTCCAGTAATAGATAAACTGTGGATTATTTTTCCTACAAGGGAATACCACAAAGAAGTTAAAATAATAAACCATAGCTACATATATCAAAAATGTTGAGTGAAAAAGGAAGTTTCAGAAGGATAAGTACAGTATAATGTCATTTATATAAATTTTAAATATACATAGAATAATAGATGCATACAAATGTAGTGAAAATATAAAAGTATGCATGGAAATGCTCACATCAACTTCAGGATAATGATTACCTTTGGTAGAGAAAAAAAGGAATTGGGGGATGGTTAATTATATTTCTTTTTATAAAGGGGATATCTGAAGGCAATATGGCAATATATTACTACCAGTTTAAATCTGGGTGGGACTTCTGATAAACTATCTTTTATATATCTTGAAATATTTTATGATAAGAATTTTAAAAATTAAAGCTAGATCCTAAGACAATTAGAACAAGAGCAAAGGAGAAGATATTTCACAGGTGTTGATTTTGAATTGAGGTCAAAAGAGACAGTCATACCTTTAGGGTATTATGCTAAGCGAAATAAGTCAGATGGAGAAAGCCAAATACCATATGATTTCACTTGTATGTGGAAGGTTAAAAAACAACAACAATAAATAAACACATAGAGGCCGGCCCAGAGGCACAGCGGTTAAGAGTGTTCGCTCCACTTCAGCGGCCCGGGGTTCACAGGTTTGGATCCCAGGCGTGCACCGACGCACCGCTGCTCAGGCCATGCTATGGCTGCATCCCATATAAAGTAGAGAGGATGGGCACAGATGTTAGCCCAGGGCTAGTCTTCTTCAGCGCAAAGATGAGGACTGGCAACGGATGTTAGCTCAGGGCTGATCTTCCTCACAAAAAAAATAAATAAATAAAAAATAAAGTCTTTAAAAAAAATTATTTTAAAAATAAATACATAGATACAGAGAACAGACTGGTGGTTAGCAGAGGGGAAGTGGGGAGGGGGAAGGGTGAAAGGGGTAAAAGAGCACATTTGTACAGTGACGGACGGCAGCTAGACTTTGGGTGGTGAACATGATGTAGTCTATACCGAAGTCCAAATGTAACGATGTACTGAAATTTATGTAATGTTATAAACCAATGTTACCTCAATTTAAAGACTTAATTGGAAAAAAAATAGACAGTCACAGTCAGCATACTGACCTTCAACAAGTCACTTAATCCCTCGACCTGCTTCTTTCATCTCAGGTTCCTGGAATAAATTATCACAACTAGATTCTAAATGTATCTATGAAACTCACTGTCAGTCAAGGCAAAAACGCAAACTCACTGTGCTTTTTAGTTTTCATTATTGGATTACAAAAAACACAAATTCAACTGGAAAAATATTTTTCTGACACTGAATTTTCATGAGTATTGGGTGACAATTCTCCATGCATGTCTCTCATTCCTGTACAGACTGGGCCTTCTGAGCACAGAACATGGTTGAATAGCAAACAGCTTTGGAGGCTAGAGAAAGTATACTCCTCTGGTGAGATCTAGAGATGTACCTCCCAAGACATGTCACGGGGCACTAAAGATAAAGCCCTCTCGTTCCCCTCCAGAGACATTTGCTTTCTCTGTCTCTCTCTTGGAGGCTGGGCAGATGTGCCAGCATCCCTATAAAAAGCTAAGTCTTCTAATTTCAGGGTTCCTCTCCTGTGATGCAACTTACTACATGCACAGGTACCATCTGGCTCTCATCACATTGCCCTGTGGGAACTGAGGTGAGGGAACTGACACAAGATACTGCTCTGGCTGCTGCTTTTGCTGTGAATAATCATCTGCATCTCTGACTCAAGGGTCTTGTGTCTTCTGTCAATGTGTGTTTATGTGTGTGTATTTGTATAACCGTGGCAGGCTAACTTGTAAGCTTGTAAATAGTGTAAAATCTCAGATCCTTCACAGTTCTGACTTAGCAAAGAGGAGCAGAAAAGAAAGACTCTGAATAACATAATGGACAGTGTCTTTAAAGATAATTTCATAATAAATCCAGAAATATTCTTCAAAGGACACTTCTTATATTAACCCTCTATAAAAACTATGGGTCTAACAATACCAGGAAGGAAACATCAAGGCAAAACATTAGATTCAGAAAGATATTTCAGTGTGAATTTAAGATAATGCGATTCAGCTATGTTTCTTTTTGATGATCTAAAGATACAGGAATAGGGTTTATAGTGCTTAGACAATCTAGTGGGTAACAAACACAAACCAATTTTTACTTTCTCAAACATCAGGTATTATAAGGGAGCCTTTATAAATGCTGTCTCAGGCAATTCATAGTTGAAATATCTGATGATTTCTGGAAATGCCAAAATCTTTGATTAAAGAGAGATTCCTATGTAATGGATATTTTGTTGATTTTAGCCCTCCATCATCCATTTTCTAATCTTCTCCAAACAACCCAGATTTTTGTTTGAGGATTCATCCTTTCCCCATTGTCAGGTAACATGGTCTGGATGAGGCTCCAACCTCCACTCTAGGGATGAAGCAGATAGTCAAGTCCTAGTCAATCAGTGCATCCCATTTCCCTGGTTTAGAGGTAAGCCATTCTCTAAGAGTGAGTCTCAGGACTTGGCCAGGAATGTTGGGTCAAGGATTCTCCTTTTCTGCTGTAACTGAACCTGGAAGGATGTAGCCCTGGGAACAGCTGCAAATCATCTTGACCATGAAAGTAAAGTCAGTCTAAGAATGGAATCAACAGAGAAAGCAGAGCCAGGAGATGGAGAGAAAGGGAGAAACAGGATCCTGAAGGCATAATATGAGTACCTATATCCAACTATGCCTGAAACCTTATCAACTCTGGACTGTTCAACTACATGAACTAATACATTTCCTTTTTTCGCTTAACTCAGTTTGAGCCAGGTTTTCTCTGCTTTCAACAAAAGAGTTAAAATTGATTCACTCTGGGGTTTAGATGCCTGACTTGCAAGATTCCGAACCTTTTGTAGCAAACATTTAGGACGCTTTGAAAAACGCAGAGTTCTGTTCCATAAAGTTTAGAAAGAAAGAAATTGGTCCTGAAAAAGTTTTAAGAGCTGTTGTCCTTAACAAAATATAACAGAGCCTCAATAAAACAACATAGAACATGTAATTTGAAATATACCTGGATGTTGATGGGTCTATCAATCTAGTTTATAATTAAATATACTCAATATGTTACGTCAAATAAAGATTATCTTGGAAACATAACAAGGTTATGGGGAAAAGGGAACAAAACACAATCATTGTTAAGGCTTGTTGTAGGATTACTTTCAGGTTTGACATAAGTGGTAATTTGCATGCTTATATTTAGGTTGAACCATTTGAGGTGGACAGTTTCATATAGTTCAATCAAAAAACGAAGTAGAAAAAAAGTCCACATTACTTCCTCTTTCAGGTTCTTTTAAACCAGAGAATATACTATACTGAAGAAAGGTCCAACCCTTCATTTCTCTTATCCAACTATCTTGTTTTACACATAGGACAACTCAATGTGCTACATTTTCATTTTTCAAATCTTGCAATTTCAAAACAGTTCCTCAAAAAGGGGTCCGTATTTTGTGTAAATGCAATATTCACTTACCTGCATATTATAGAGGGGTTGCTTTGGTGCATTAACTTCCCTCAGCAGGCGATGAGATATGTCCCTTAACTCTAAAAGTCTGCAAGCAAGCTGAGGCTGCAGAAGTCTGGCCACTGATTTGGAGGATCTGGATATGCTGTTTAATCCTTGAATTAATGTTCCTCGGTTGATCTTGGCTAAAGCAACAGCCATTCTGATTTTGGATGTTTTTTGCATGGGTTCTCTTTTCTGGAAAATAAGCCTTTGAAAAGTGACTGATGTGTGAGTTTCCAGTGCATTATTAAAATCTACTTCAGGCAGAGACTGAGTACCACATAACTGAATATTGTATGTGGTCCCATGCATAAACTCAATGTCCAATCATTATATCCCACATACCATACAACTCAATGATCCCCCCATGTACTTAAATCTTTATATGAATATATGATTTTTTTTCCTTAGGATAAATATCCAGAATTTAAGTTACTAGCCTAAAAATATAAATTTTTCATTTTTCTCTCTGGGTTTATTTACTTTTTGCAATGATTTTCTAAGAGCTCCTTCAGAAGTAAAAAATTCTTATTCAAATATTATTCAATGTTTGAATTATTCAAACAATTCTTATTCAAAACTGTTATAAATATTTCCCCAGTTTACTTTAAAAATTTTAAATGATAAAATATAGCATACATACATAATACACACTTAATGTACAAATTACTTGAAACTTTTAAATGATAAAATATAGCATACATACATAATACACACTTAATGTACAAATTACTTGAAACTTTTAAATGATAAAATATAGCATACATAATGCTTTGTACAATTTAAAGAAAAATAAAACTACTCTATGTACTAATCAACAACAAACTTCTACTTCTAAAAACTTCTATGAGCATTCTGATAGAAAAAAAATTGTGGCATTACCAAAACACATGACATTTAGTTCCTTCTCTGCTCTACCAGAAAGTAAACTACAGGGAAATTACTTACAATGTGGTTAGACTGCATTCCAGGCAGCAGACAAGTATAGTTTCCATTATTCATTTAAGAAATTTTATGGGCTATTCTGGATCTTTAGTATATAACTTGGGAGAAGTATTGGTTAATAACACAAATAAACAACTGTGAATCTCTGTTTATTTATTGAGTTCAAATATATAAATACAAAACATCTTTTAAATGGATTTTTTGGTCTACAATGAACATCATATATTTATCTAAGAGCTAACATGCTGTATATTTCTTTAAAATGCCTCAGCTTTTATCCTGAAGTAACGATTTTATTGTTGCTGTTTTTTTCATCCAAGTTCAATACTTCTCTTACTGTTCAGCTTTATCATTGGCAATAACCAAAAGCTGTTTTAGCCTGTCAATAAGGATGTGTTTCTGCAGCACCCGGTGTCCTATTGTGGTTTAATCCGTTAGCTTTACGGGAAAAGTCGCATTAGCCCTCCTGTGGTCTCAATCCTCCTAGTCAATACTCACAGTAGAGAATGCCATCTAAATTGTGGGCTGCTTCAATTGTTACAATTCCAAGCCACTTTAGAGCACAGCAATCCTTACAAGGAGTTTTATGGTAGGCAGAACAAACAAAATAACATGCAAGTGCGATCACTTGATATTATTATCTACCCTGGTTGCCAGAGCACATACACCAGGGTGAGAAACTACGTTGTCTGCTGTAGCCAAAGCTCCTGCACATATAGATTCAATTTCTCTTGTAACCTTATGTTTTGCTTCAGTGACTCTTCCTCCCAACTCCTCGTCAGGGTGGAGCAGCTAGAATAAATTTGGTTTTTCTCCTGTTTACAATTTACTCTGTTTTCTCTCATTATAATTTATAACCATAAGGTGAGGGTCATATCACCAGGGCAAACAGGAGTGGATGTGTGCAATTCCATCTTGACTGAAACCTCGTCTACGTGGTCAGTCATTGTTTTAGGGACCCTTCATTTTTGTAGTTGCAAAACATTAACATTCTGCAGTTTCTCTCTCCTTATTTTGTAAGTTTCTTTACAAAATCTTGGTGATCTGTACTTGTTGACCTGGATTCACTGACTTTACTCATGTATTTGTATTGACCAAGCTTGATTCATTCCCCCAAACACTATACTAGATTGATCCATTCAACTTTCCTCTCTTTTACAAAATTGTCTTTCTTTTTATCTCTGTAGAAAAATAAGCCTATTTGTAATTGATAATCTGTTAATCAAAACTCTTCTGTAGGTTTCACATAATTTGTGTTGACCAAAATATAGCATTTTTTATAGATAATATTTTTAGAAATTTAAGTGTGCATTACAATAATGCTTTAGGATTCTTGCTGTTATCTTTCTCATTTTAGTCTGGTCATGAATTCATGGTTTTTCCAACCAACTCAATCTGTTCATAATTAATATCTTTTTTTCCTTTAATGCTCAAATAGTTACAATTTGACAACTGTGCTTCCCTTCATGGTTTTTAAAATGTTTTCCTTTTTTTGATTCTTTCCTAGATACCTCTGAAAGAATTAATACTTCTGACAACAAAATGTTTCTGACCACCTTTATTTTCTCTGCCACAAGACATGGAATCAACTTATTTCCAGGAAGACCATTATTGCTTTTAAGAAGAATAGTATTAGAACCAAATTCAGGCACCGGGGTGCACGTTCAGTGGTTCTTTGTGACTCTGGGAATGCGAAGGTGACAACAGAGGAGAGGCTACTTCCATTCCTTTAGATGCAGAATGAGATGTTCTTTTTTAAAAAAACAGTCACCAGTTTATGATGATGATTCCAATTCACTCTTACTTTCAGTGAGTTACTTTTTAAATTAGCTCTAGTAGAAACATTTTCAAATAAAACAGTTTTCCCCTTTTTGTATACTTTTTGTATACAGCTTTTCTTATTTGTATACTATTTATGCTATATATTTTCTTACCAAACCACGTGTGTAAATTTAAATGTTAACCCCAAATTAAGAAGTCTTCATTTCTTTTCCCTCTTTCTTTTTTGGACTCTTGGCCTAAGCAGCCTGGAATTGGTAGCAAAGTGTGCAAGTTGAGATGATTCTTTTAGTCATCATCAAAATCTGAGCACATTGCCAAATGTCAGAAAAGAAATTCCTACTCCCAACCACCAACAAGACCTCAGGGACACACACAGGTACTTAAAGACCATTTACTAAAAGAAGCTTAGCATCAGTTAATCAGATTGATTCGAGAATCCTGCTCCAGATTTCTCTATTTGAGCTCCATTCTTTGAATATATATTCTGCTATCCCTTTTTATTTTTTTTTCTAGTGCCATGCCCATTTCTCTATCATCAGCAGTTTTAGTGCTGAACTCCAGTTTCTATTACATCAGCTTTTTATTCCCCTACAGCCATGAAACCAGCCTGTCAGCAAATCTCATTCAATTCTTTCCCTGAATAGTCCCATAATCTGACCACTTCTCACAAACCCCAGTACCAACACGCAGTCCACTACATTTATATGCCACCATCTCTTCTCCAGACTAGTAAATTAGCCTCCTCAATGGTCTCCCTGCTTCACTTCTGCCTGTTTTCATTCTGTTCCTCAACACAGCAGCCAGAGAGATACAATTAAAACTTATGTCAGATCATATCTTACTTTTCTGCTCAACCGCTTCGGTGGCTTCCCGGTGCGCTCAGTGTAAAAGCCAGAGTACACACAATGGTCGACAAGGCTCCACAAAGGTGGTCTCCTCTTTACCTCTCTGGTCTTGTCATCTTTTTCTCTCCCTTTCGCTCCTCACTATTTGTCAAACTTGATAGGTATACTCTTACCTCAGGGACCCTGCACTAGCTATGCCATTTGATTCCTCAAGGATGCCAAGGTTTGCTCCCTCACTTCCTTCAAGGCAACTCAAGAATCACTTTCTCACCCTCTTGGTCCCCGACTCTAATTGTCAACTGGTCTCCCTATCCCTACCCCTACTTTATATCCCTTCTCTGCTCAAGACCTACCATTAACATAATATGTAGTTTATCTTCTTTGTTTATTGTTTTTCTACTTGACTAGGATGTAGGTTCTATAACAGCAGTATTTTCTATCCATTTGGCTCACTGATCTTTCCCCAGTGCCCAGAATAGTGTCTGGCACATAATAGGTGCTCGATAAATATATGTTAAAATGAACGAATGAAGAATATCAGAAAAATATAACAAGTTAATATTGAGAAATATCAGAGAAATATACCAAATATTTAGAAACCACCCAGAAAGTTTTC